TCCGCCAACCTCAGAGGAATCACGAATGATCCAAGAGATGGCCCGACGAGCGCGGCCAAATGCCATATTTGCGGTCATTTTGTTTGGAAGAACATGTTGAAGACAATTAGTGTGGACTTCCAAAACCACTCTGACATGGTCACATTTGATCACACGTCGGACTGCTGTCGACCGGAGCTCCAAATTCAAGATCGCATTGCCGATGCTTTTTCTCAAAAGGGTTTCATCCTTCTACCTCTAAGGGCACAGTGAAGCAGTGAAACAGCTCTATGCACCTTCATTGTCTCACGCAATGTCGCTAGATCATGCTAGATCCTCTTCACTGTAGCCTCCTGAACTGGGAATTCATCAGCACACATACAGTGCAAGCTGCTTGGCGCAGCAAGTGCTGTAGATTTCGCCGCTAAGCAGGGCCAACCAGTATACTTCAGTGCTTGATGGAGTGCACCAGTTGAACACATGTTTGTACATACAGTAATTGCTCTGTTTGATCTCTAGTCTTGTAACTTTCTTGAGAAGCGGCTTGCTTGTATTGTTTTTCGTTTCCTTATGTGTTGATTTGTTCAATTTCAATGCCGGGTATAGAGGCCGTGTGGGCACCAACGTTGATCAAAGTATGAATCGCCGGGAGCTCTGATCTCTGGTTGGCTACAACATCCTGGACTCCTATATACAGATCTATATTTAAATTGACAGATATATACAGTAAATATCCTTCGGCCCGAAAACACCATGAAGAAGAGCCAATGTCTTTTTGATTCTTTGTCCATGGTGTTCTCACCAAGCTGCCGGCTTGTGTTGGGAGCCCGTGTAGTAGTGGGAGTCGGGGAAACATGTGGGCGTTGCAAGCCATATCAACAAGATTCAACAAGCGTCACGTGTCACAAGCATCATGGGAACATCCGGCAAGGTGCAACAGTTCCAAGAGGGGCACCACCACAATGATCGCCTCAAGGATGCGTGGCTTTGGAACATTGTTTTGACGTCCCCATCTAAGATTCGGTGTTTTTAGCATTTGGGTTGGGGCAGGGAAGCATGGAAGGCGATGGAAAAAGCTCTCAGTAGCTTCTTGTTCCTAGTGGTAAGGCCAGGAGCCCCGAACGTAGCGTCCGAACGCTCCGTTCGTAGCGATGCCCGAAATGCATCGAAATGCTCCGTTCGTAGCTTCTTGTTCGAAGCATGGCCGTGGAATCCCATGGAATCCCATGCTGGGAGGGTGCGGTATTAGGATGTATTAGGCTCAGCCACTTCAAAACTATTTGATACGCTAAAATGGCTAGCTGGTGACATGACATGATCTGGTACAAGTAAGACATTCAAAGATCATCAAACATCTTTATATAACAGGCCATCCCCCCCAAAAAAAAGAACTTACAGCACATGCAAATCCGCTAATGCTACTTTTGGGCACATGGAAACCAGGATGAACCCTGAAATCCCTGAAAATGAGCCTATAACTCGAAACAGTCTCGTGAAGAACATCGATGAAACTCCTCATTCATCTCATTCTATCTTGGGGTCCTTTCAGTCGTTTTCTGCGTTCATTCGAGCCCGCTGGTCCTTTTCGGCTGCTATTTTCTTGTCCAATCCAATGTCCCGCCATGCGCACCACCTCGAGTGTAAACTCGCCCACCTCGCAAGCCACGGCCAGGAAGAGACCCTTCTCCGACAGGTCTAACGCACTCATCCGCTGATCCTCCAGCGGCACGGGCCACACCACCTGGCGCGGAGCGCAGTGAGCGCACGGAACGCCCCACCGTGTCCGAGAAGCGCACGGGCGGGGCGAGCTGGGGACGGCTGGCCCCTTTAGGCTGCCCACAGATCAATTGTTTGATGATGATGATGATGATGATGATGGTGAGAAGGAGGAACATTGAGATGGATTGAGAAATCGTGAGCCCTCATTCCAAGCGTCTTCGACACTGTGAAGCAATCCTTTTCGGGATCTCAGTGGAGCTGTGGAACCACTTTTTCCGCAATTTGTGAGACCCAAAGTCTGGGTCAGGCACACTGATAGGCCAAAAGGCCTGAGCGCGCCACTCCCAGGAGTCATGGGTGACTGCAGTCCGATGTCTCTGATGTCAATGACTTGTTTCAACTCTGACTCAGTTGAGTTTGCCCGGGTCATACTCTTACTAATGTTGACACAGGATTAAGTAACCACCCCCTATTAATCAATCCCAGCTCGACCCACCCAATACTAAACTAATTGAACACCTAGATTTCCACCTTGGCATCACCCTATTATGTTTTCTCATGTTTTCTCTACCAGAAACCTCCCCCTATTATATAATCAATCCCAGCTCCCCCAGAAAAAAAATATATAATTGGTTTTATCCACTCTTTTCTCATGCCATCTCTTTGAGTGATAGCATTCTGATTTTTTTCCAATGCTGATCCTGTCATCCATCAATCATTCTGATCATCTGCTTGCTCTTCTCATCTTTCCCAGCAGCAATCTGTGCAGCCAATGTATACTCATATGACTCATATGGGATCTTCCTGCCCAGCCTCTTCCCCTCCTTCCTCATCCAATAGGCTGTGCATTTCCATGGTTCAATCTCTCATGACACAGAATCCCATCAACCATCATCCATGATCAGGTCCAGGCCCTCATCTCATCATCCATCATCAGGTCATCATCTTTATTAAGGGGATGTAGTCCTCAGATACCTCCAATATCCTCCAATCTCAGACCTTGTTGACCTTGAAGGGGGGGGGACGTTTATTGATCCGGTGTCGAGATTAACCCCAAGGCCCTAAGCCTGTGGGCCCGTGGTCTTTCTCAAGCCTCTGCAGCGCAGCTTCTTCGCGCCTCGCAGGCGTCGGAGGTGGTGTCGCCATAGAAGACCAAGCGCGCCACCAGCCGCGCGTCGCTCCAGGCCACGACCAACCTCAACGACGAGCCGCGGAGACGCGGCGCCCCGCGATGCCCCGCGTCTCACGACCCTCGCAGGGACGGTTCGGAGGGTGTTCTTCGACGGGAGCGCGTGGGGAGCGTGTGCAAATCGCCGTTGCAGGGACAGTTTTGTGCGGTTGGAACATGGGTTGGTGAAGCGAAAAAAGACTTTGACAGTCCATTGTACCAGTTCCCAATGCAATGGTTTCTCAAGATTTTCTCCACCACCTGACCTACCCCAAGACCCCCAAGACCACCCTCCGAGCCGCAGCTCGTACGCCTCTGAGCCCTCCAGGGCAATGAAGAGCACCTCGCCGTTCCGCCGCTCACTCCTGGCATTACCCCGTTCGCCCTCTAAACACGGAAGGCCCCGAAACGTCCTTTCATGCTTCTTTCATCCACTTTTGGCTGTTTTTGCAGAAAAAATGCCGCAAGCGCGGGTCATCGGGTTGGAAAGATCTTCGGAAGGTGCTCGCAAATTAGACTATAATTTACTTTTACCTGGACATCTTTAGATGTTCAGATTGGGCTCTTGTGATGTTCAAGGACTTGCAGTCGAAGCCCCAATCTGGACACCAAAAAGACCCAACGACCTGGCGTTGTCTATGACTTGTTTGTTGTTTCCTGGGTCTGGAGTTGAGGCCCTCCCGAATCCAGTCCTTGGGGCTCATATCTACTAGGGGATACTAGGGGCTTTTGGAGAGTGATCACACGCTGATTCCCTTCTCCACGACCTCCCTGGGGGTCCACCAGGTCCTGGGGTCCACGTGGTCCACGGGTCCCGGTACTCCTCAGGACGCTCGTCACGGAGCACAGCTCCAGCATCCGGTGGGTCACAAAGGCCGCAGCATGGGCTGCGGAGCCGCCAAAACGAGAGGACTCGGGCCGGACGGTGATGAGAGAGAGAGAGAGATGTGCCAGTCTCCATGACCTGGAGTTTGATGGAGAGAGATGTGGCTCCTCATGCAAGGTGCAAAGAAGAATTACCCCTACAGGATTCCAACCACCCTTGATTTATCTATAGCCGCTATAGCCTTTGCTGAACAGCCATTGGTTTTGCAAGGTGTTTACACTGAATAAACCCGTCAACATAGGGTTACCATAGATTATTTGTTACATTTATTGTTACCATAAGTTCTAATTGGTTCAAACGCCTGGATAGAGTGAACATCTTGGCGACTCCTATGCGGGACAACATGCCGCATTTGAATAGAAAGAGTCAGGGCTCTGGGCCACTCTGGTTGACTCCCGGAAATGAACCGATTGAAATAGGGAGATCTGGAACCAATGGGTTTGGGTCTATTTTCCTTCCAGGGGGGGTCGGAACGCCTGGTGTCGGTCTTCCTGTTTTGATACACACCAAGGCCATGATGCCATGTCAACGTGGCTTGGTGATGGGGAGGTGCCACGACTCACAGCTATTTGATGGATGAGCTGATCCACTGGGGCGATCCTGGCACTCTAGACAACAAGACGCACAGAAGTGCTGCTTGGGCCGAAGGGGCTCTTGACAAACACACGCCTCTCGCTGTATACGAAATATTGTTATGCATTCCTTTCAACATCCTCCACATACCAAGAGAAACCATGCGGCAAAACGACTGAAACTCTGAAACCACTGGAATTCTACAAGTTCCCACCTGCACCAACACGGCACTACATTTCGTTCCACGAACGCATCCGTCAGGAGAGTACGACAAGCTCTGTGGTATCATCTAGAAAAACTTGAACAGGATTGGTTCACACTCCCAAGACACATGATCAACGTTGAGCGGTTGCTTCGTCAAATTGTTACACCCATATCATTGGAATGATGTCCAAGAACCCTTAGGATTTGGTTTATCGTCAGTGTCCATCCAAGTTAGAGCAAAACACCCCAAAATCCAAGCCATCCTCCGACCGACGGACACTGGGAGTCCATCGCTTGCACCCAGATTCTCGACCGGATGTCACCCCGTCACCGAGGCCTGCTCCAACTCAGAAGCGGAAAAAAAGAAAGAAAGCCCCACCCACCGTGTCTTCACCAAACCGCGAGAACTTCTTCGCGTCTCCGCATGTCTCCGCGACTGGAGAAAATCAACGTGTACTGGGAGCCCCAGACTCTGGACAGCTGCCTGTCCGCCTCATCTCTCTTGGCACGAAGCTCCTCAAGCTGCGTGGATGGCTTCGGATGGGTGGAAGGTAGGTGCCAAAACTAGGACCAATGGGATGACCATGAGATGTTTTGTTTGGGGAATTGGCGTGCTTACTGATTGGGTCTTACACATTTTGGATCATGTGGTAGATTGTTGCTAAGCCGATATCTGTCCCCAACGAATCTCAGTACATCTGCAATGTTCATCATGTTTCGATCCTGGTCAAGAGGTCTGGATCGAATCAAACTGAACCTACTCCAATCAAACGTGCACAGAAGTTGGGCTCGCCTGAAGACTTCTGAGATTCGACTTGAAGACTTCTGAGATGTGCTGTGACTCGCTCTGTCAGTCGATGTACCCTTTAAGCCCCCGATTGAGACATGTGCGGGTGCGGACCCTGCGAAGTCGTCATACATCGTGCCAGGTTGCATTTCGTGGGTGCAGGTTGTACCTAGTGCCTGGGAAAGGTGGTGCAATAGCACATATAACATGACGGCAGTGCCACCCTCCACCATCGTCTTGGCGCTGTGCCTGAAACTCCTGATCGCGCAAGGAGATTTGGTGATGAAGATCCGCCTGTGCTGAGGATCTGCGCCGTGGACTTCAGTGACCGATCAGTCCATTTTGGCAGGATCGGGGACTGGACTTGACCTGTTTCCAAGTCAGTATACCAAGCTTCCAATGGGTGTCCTGTTGACCTACAAGATCCTATAAGAACCTATAAGTCTATAGGGTTGTCCAACCAGGTGACCCTACACTTAGGTGACGGAGGCTGAGCTCAGCTGGTCAGTCACTTCATCAGCAAGCTATGAGCCGTCAGAATCACCGGACGGCTCAGAATCACTGGACCGGTGCGTCTGTCAACTTCGAGTTCAATGACCGGTCTTTTTCCTTTAAACTTTCACTGGGACGGGCGGTTCTTGAAGGCATCCGCTTTGGCGAAGGCATCATAAACAAACAAGTATTGCTCTTGCTCTCTATAGTTTTTGTATACATATGTGGAGTCTGGAATGCACTCGAGGTGCTGGGTGCTATATAAATCATATACAGGCCATCCTGGGAGTAGATAGATATATGAGAACAACATGACTGGTTTCCTGGTCTTGGGATGTTGCATCTTTATGCATGCTGCATACACATGCATACACTTATCTACCGACCCGACCGATTCATACCCCACTTATTCTACTCTGCATGCTGCATACACTGACTGACACATCAGGAGTCCAGCACCAGACCCTTACCCCATGGACCCTGAAAACCAAAGGGGGTTGGTAGAAAAAAATCATCCCTGCCCGGCCCTACCCACCAGGGTTCCAAAAGGAGCTATCCCCTCCCTATCCCTCAATTTCTTCATTCCCAGAATTGGTGTCAGGTAAAGTCGACAGGAAACCTACAGTTTTTTGGATGTTTTTGGGGGTGCAAACACGGGCTTCCAGTAGATTTTCCCTTAAGCCAACCATTTCATTGATTCATACATGGCCGCCGCAGGTGGGGCCGGGATAGAAAAAAGCCAGTTCCGTCCATGGGGCCGGATAGGGCTCACCCACCCACCAAGCGAGGCCGCCAGGGTGAGGAGTTCGGTACACACGGTTTGGAGTCCGGCAGCGCGAGCGTTCAGGTAAGCGGTTGGGTACGGTTAGGTGGTTTCAACTCAGAGTCAGGGGGATCGAATCCCAAGCAGAGGTTCAACAGAAACATCTCTGAAATCACCACCCACACAGTTTGGGTGTGAATGGGGGGGCCACATAAGACTCAAGATCCCATTTATGGGACACAAAAATAGAGGACATTAGAGAACCCAACTTGTTGGGCCAAAAAAATTCCCCTATGGTTCTCTACAAAGCCCATTTCCACGACCTTAACCTCTCCTGCCCCAACTTGGGAGAGCAGCATGAGAGCAATCACGTGCAAAACTGCAGACTTCAACGCCGTGGTTCCTCCATGAGCATAGAACTTGATGCACTACAACAGCCTCTCCAAAAGAGAGTTCATGCTGTACACTTACTTCAGCCGTACACTGGCAGATGGCCAGTTGGGTCTTCCAGGGGCCTATGTCCCAGTGCATTGGGATTGGATTCACCAAACAACCCTCTGGGCCTCTGGGTGGTGGTTGAACTCCACCACTTGGAGACTTTGAACTCTTGGACCGTGCAACTCTTGGACCGTGCCTCAACTCTTGGACCGTGCCGCGCCTCTTCTTGTTGAAGGCAGTCCTTTTGATGTTCCAAGTCCTGGTAGACCAGCCACGTTCAAAAAACAAACACATGGATGCGAGGATTGTCGAGACAGCCACGTGAAGTCATGTCTCTCAAAAGACTCAAAAGGTTTGACTTCGCAGCCACAAAACACTACATATATAACAATTACATCGAAGCTTCTGACCAACATACTGAGAAATTGACCAAAGTCCTTTACCTGGAATCGAATCCTTGCCTCAATTCATACCCTCCAACCCATGGTGCCGCTTCTCCAGCCAAAGCAAAAGATCCCAGATAACATCATGCCATTGTTATTGGATGCGGTGCATTGCACAGGTCTAGACTCCAGATTCCACATTCTCTAATTACTACAGTAATTATATAGTTTACCTGATTTTACCTGCAATTGCGTCCCTAGACTAGAGCTTTTGGGACTTCCTCTCAGTGCCTGCCATGGATCTCAGTGCCTGCCATGGACGTATGAGAAGGAAAAAAGAACTTCCGCCCGCGCAACCCACCTGCCACTGGCGCTTGGTCTCAGCGAGGCTTGCCTGCATACCAGCACGTCCGCGCACCCGCACGTGCGGGCCGACTCGGAAAACACGTCGCAACTTCCGACTCTCAAAACATGAAGTGGCCCAAACCACCCCTTGCCACCCCCTGCCTTGCCTCGAATACGCTCTAGAAAAAATCAATTTGCCTGGTCCAAACACGATTTTACCTGGGAGTGGCATATTGACCAGGCAAGGGGTGGGTTGATTTCAGGGGAGACATGTCGGCAGTATATCTCTCCCATGGAGCCATGGGGCTGAAGTCCATGACTGGGACCGAAAGGCTCATCGTGATGCGCATCGTTCTGCCAAAGACGTGCGACTTACAGCGTGTCACAACACCATGATCACCCTGAGTCGGCTCGTTTCTAGAGGGATCTAGCTGGGCTGTCGGTAGTTTACTCAAGTGTTCCGCCCTAAAGTGTTCAAGACCTAAAGTGCTGACGGACCAGATCCAGGACATCCAGGTCTAGTCGCAAAACCCTACGTGTGTGAGTTTGGGATGTTGGCCCGCTAAAGACCACCCTCTTGTAGTCAGCGTCTTTTCGAAGTTGGATTCTTCGCGCGGTGGAGGATCTCTGGGAGTGGGCGGGAGAAAGTCGAGAGACTGGTCTCTAAATGACTATGGTGTCTAAGTCAAGTGGCTGATATCAACTTAGACTTTCTTTGACTCATCCGCTGACTTAGCCATTGGCATTTAAACCAACAATATGTTCACATGGATGGAAACAAGTAGTATAGATTAGTATAGTAACCAAATGTAAACAAAAAATAATCCTCACTGACGCAGCCTGCTGATTCATGACCTCTTCCATCCTCTTCCTCTTCCCGTTTTAAGTCTCTCAACCCTCTTCTTCCCTCTTCCCTCTCACTCAGGCTGCGTGAGCTCGCTCAGACCCACGCAAAGCTTCGGCTCAGGTCTGAGGAAGGCCCAGCCCGGCAAGCCCGAAGGCATCCGAAGGCCCATGAAGAACCGTCCCCACTCCCATAGCGACGCTTGGATTTGCTGCCCAACTGGGCACAAAAGAAACATGTTGTCAAAAATTCATCCATAGGGAGCATCCACATCATTAAGCAACACCAAGGACGGCCTTGCAAGAGGGAGAAGCACATGGGACTATGGACATCAAGCTCCACTTGACATCCACTCTATAGTGCCCTGGTGCTCTGTTGCGCCAGTAGGGCACCACCTCTTGCCGGTGACCTCATTGGGTGGGTGGTTTCTTCGGCTCTCGGCTCGGGTGCATGTTTGTTGCCAACCGTGTGCATCAGGCGTTGAAAGAACATGAAAACACAGGTGCGTCATGTACAACTGCATCACCAGTTCTTGGCTCGAGCCCCCCAACATTCCAAGAACTCTGCCAATCGCAAAGGGTATGCAATAACATCTGGCTCCTGGAGTTTCAAGTTGGGGTGGGACCCAACGAACGTGGGTAGTGTCTAGAACCACATACTCGGACCGTGAAACCACACAATCAACTGGCTTCCAGAACAAGAATTACAGCTTCACAGCATCCTAATCGAACATATGCGCCTGACGCAAAATTTGGGGTGACCAGACAGTTACCCTCCCTCAAACAATCATGGAAGCTGGGCGGGCCTCACTTGTAGAAGAAAATAGTCTTCCAGGGGCCTATGTTCCACTTCCATGATTGTTTCAGGGAGTGTACTGAGAAAACCATCGCCGTTCAACGTCCCTTCATGGCGCAGAACTTCCGGATTTCGAGCACAACCGCGTGCGACAGTTGGACCAGCAGCTTCGGTCCTTGCTGTCGAGGACCAGTTGCCACACTGAAGAAATGGTGCCGGAACAAACTTGAGGCCACTGAAAAAGCTCTGCCCGGACAATTCACCAACCCTATGGGTCACTGCTTCTCTCGGTTTCTATGGAGCGCCTCCAGTCGCATCAGGAGACGTACCACCGGCTGACGGCCGTCACTAGTTCAAAAATTGAGCACTGGCTCCAGTCGCGCATGTTGAACCAGAACCAGTTGTACGCAAAACATTTGTTGATATGGTTTGAATTGCTTTGATTTATTTAATCTATATTTACAGCATCACATAGCATCACCAAAAATGCGAGTGAATGAATAATTCTCAAACCTCAAACGCCGTGACTAGAAGAGGATGTCATGAGGATGTCATTCTCTAACAAGGCTTCTTCGACATCTATGTGAGATCCACTGCACATCCATGTGAGATCCACTGCACCAACAAACCTTCCAGACCCCTCCAAGGTTTCTCCTTCATGGCCCCCCCCCGCTTTGAGGCGGTGGCTTGAAAAGAACGTCGCCCTCTCTGCCGGCCCCGGCGGGGAGTCGGACGGAGCTACTTCCGCCGGGGCATCGGCTCAAAATGATGCGAGTAGAGCCTCGGACCAGCACTTTTGGGTGCTTAGATCCATGGATTGGCTTCAATAAAACCCCCTTGCGTTGGGTCTCTTTTCCGATGGTGGTCGCCCCAAAAAAATTGGTGGATGTCCTGCAGATTGTCCCTTACACCATCTGAAACATTCTGAAACCAATTCTGGGATTGTAAAAGGTCATGTTCTCCATAAATAAAGCGGAAGTTGGGAGTGGAAGGTTCCACTCCAGCACCCGTGCCTGTTTTGTGCGCTCCAATCCCGCTGCCTGTTGCTCTATAGGTCAATGACCATGAACCTCCATGACCAAGTAACTCCCTCTAAAAAAAAGAAAACATTCACAACCAAACTTTCGATCTGTTCCAATAGTGGGGTGTCCCCAGTGGCCCCAGGGTCCATGGGACGTGCGCCCCACCGGGCAGGTGATCCATATGGAGCGTCTTTCTCATCCCAGGGCGCATCGTCTCGTAGCTTGGATAAGGATAGAGCTCCGCATCCATGACGCCTTCCGCGGTGTCCACCTTGGAGCACGGCTGTCCAGTGCCGAGAACACATGTGAAACAATGTGAAACATATTACCCCGGAGACCGGGGATTTGCCCAGGAACCGCGATTCAATCGAAATCACCCTTTCGTTTCACGCCACACCCAGCCACCGCCAAGCGCAGCCGCTCCATTTGGGGCTTCACCACGTCGCACAGAAAGGTCGCCTCCTGGCGGTGTGGAGCCTCGCTCCGTCGGAGAGAAGAAGTCTGCGACCCTCCAAGATCTGGTCTTGAGGTGACAGCAGGTCATGAAAACCACCTGTTAGGATTCCAAGAACCACGCCTGTTAGGATTCCGGTCGAACCACCTGCTGGAAGGTCCTGTTAACGGTTGATCACTCGGCTGATCTTTTGACCTTCTCTGAGTGGGGACACGGATTACCCCCGTTCCACCTCGGGTGAACCCACTTGTCCAAAGGCAATTCCACTGGGCGATTCCACTGGCCATGTTCCGAGACCCAACCAACTGCGTGACCAGTGATTTGAAGCTTTCCGATGCAAACCTCTCAATCAAGTCCGTTTAGCGCAGAGCAAGCCCTCCTCGAGATGGACAGATTTGGTAGTTCACTTGGAGATGTACCACATTATCACATCCAAAAGAGTAGGAAAAAGGGTCTCAAAAAAGTCTCTCAAAATATCTTAAACATATTTTTCCCCCCGCTCACGTGAGCCCCAGGATGCCCTCTCCTCAGCCAGGGCTTCTGGAAGTTGCTGCAGCAAGCTCTTCAATTGCTCAGTCTCTGTCATGATCGCTTCGTAGGCATCCCGCCCTGGGACGCTCCCGGTGCTCAATCCGGACCGGTGGAGGGATCCAAGTAGCTCCTGGGAAGGTGTTTGGACCCTCCTCGGCACCTGCATCAAAGCGTCTCCAATCACCCTCTGACAGCGTATGCGGGCCCATAGGCTTTGGAAGGAAGAGGAACCTGGTGATCGCCTGGTGATGTCCAAAGGGGCACCAAAGTTCCAAGATTGTGAATGGCCCATGACCATCCAATGTGAGGTTGGTGGGTCTAGCATGCACCCGAAAACGGCATCTCTCTTATGAGAAAGCATTTTCCAAGTGAGTTGCAGTGACCTAAATGACCTGCTGGGAAGATGATCATGCTCCCCACATCCAGGGGCGCTAAGACAACACATCCGCACGGTTTCCGGTTTCGGCATGACCCGCCGAGTCTCGAGTTCCGGAGGTCTTCTTGGGCTCCTGAAGCTGCGAAGTGGCGAATCCAGTGTCTCTCAGATTCTTATAGGCGTTTCTGCCCCATCGGCCGATGAACATCTGCAGCAAGCAGGGTCTTATCATTGTAATGCAGTAGTCAAAATCCTCTTGGCAACAAGAGTTAAGAGTTCTGAGGTCTATACTATGGCACTGCGGAGGTGTCGATCTCAGAATAGGATTGACATGGATTGACCAATGAGCATATTATGGCATATCTAGCAAGTGGTTAGAGAGCTCCCTTTCCCCTGTGAAGGGGGGACATGGACAGCCCCGGCTCCGAATTATCGACCCCCCGACTCACCAGCTAATAAAGTATAGTTCTTGGGCCCAGCCACATGATGGTCGGCATGAGCATGCATGATTTGATCATGTATGACGCTCATACAGCTTATAAAGAAGGACTGGTGTCCGCCCTGCCTGGTTGCCGTTCTTTGACTCAGGTGCTGTCCCACAGGGCGCCCCTGAGAAAGGGGTGGAATCATGTGGAATCCCTTTCTCAGGCCGGTGGAATCTCTTCCTTTCTTTTAGGACCGGTCAACCGTTGGTTTTTCCTTCACACTAGTCACTGTAGTCGTTTGTTCTTTTTTGGGGGGTGGATTGGGATCATGGATTGGGATCATGGTCTATCATATACACACTGCAACAGAGTCTTTCCGAACCCTAGTGATCTTAAGTAGCCCTTTTTTTCAGCGACGGGTTCTCTCATGAAAAAGGGTCCCCACTGGGTGCTGCCCTCGCATTGTCTCGGTCCAAATGGTCTCCACTCGGGTCACCTTCTGGACATCGTCCCTGCACTCTCGGTTTGCCCCACTCGGTTTGCGCTTGGCTTCGCGGGACGAGCATGTCACGCCAGGGGGACTGTTTCACGTCCAACGCTAT